GCGAGCACATGGGGCCCGGCCACGTCCCGGCAAGGGCACCGTCGCAGCTCCGGCACCAAGGGCACCGTGACTTTTCTTCCTTGATTGCCTTTGCCTCCATCTTATAAAACCCCGTAAATTTGACCCATCCTGCCCGGCTGGGCTGGGGGGCTCGCAGGCTCCTGGCCATCGGGACCCCCACAGACGCCCCCCATCCTCCTGGGATGAGCTCCCCAAGGAGCCACGAAGCCCTTGAGCGGCGCTCGCTGACGACACCCAAGCTGGAAGGAGCAGTTAACACCAGGGCCCTGCTCTTTGCGGGAGAAGTCGCTGGTTCTGAGGGCTTTGTAAAAAAAAAAACAAAACAAAACGCTCCTGGATCCCTGTAATCCTATTTGTTGGAGTTCAACTAATTGCAATTAGTGGCAGGGGCTGAAGTTCAATTAAAGTGTACCGAGATTACTCCTTTTTGTAATTGCTTTAGTGCTGGGATTAAGGGAAGCTTTGGAGCGATACCGTCCCTGGGAGAGGGGGGCTGTTGGGCAGGGCGGGCAGGGGCTGCCCACCCCCTTTTTCTGCCAGATTTTGGCCTGCAGTGCCCACACCCCGCCAGGGCTCGGGCTGTCCCCTGGGTGAAGCCACCTGCAGCGTCACTGTGAGGGACAACGGACCCTCACCCAGGCCAGCGCGGAGTCTGGCAGCGCCCGCAGGCAGAGCCCCGGCAGAAGCGCCCCACAGCCCTCGGTTTTGGGGCCAGACCGTGCTCAGCACCAAGCAGAGGGCAGGTTCTGCTGCCCGTATGTCCCGGCGCGGCTGCCTGCGTTACTGCCTTGCCCTCCTGGGGTCAAGCCACAAAGGGTGTTGGGTTCCCAGTTCACAGCTCCTCATGGAGCCCCAGTCTACGGTTCTGGGCAGGATTGGGGGGTCCCGTCCCTCCCCCTGGGGTTGGGGGACATTGGGGTGAAGTCTCAAGGAGTGGGAGGGTCCCCTGGGACAGGTCCCTTGATGACGTGGGGAAGAGGAGGCACAGGATCCCGGCCCTGACGTCGTCAGTCCCAGCGGCACTAATCCAGACACCCCCTCCCCATCCCACCGGGGCAGAGCCGTGAGGAAGGGCATCAGATTACCCCTTTGAAAAGAAGGGACATAAATAATCCTATTACCCCAGAGCAGGATAAATCTGCCCTCCCCTAAAAGCCCCTCAGAGCGTCTATAGGACGTGCAAGCAGCAGGACGGAGGGTCTCCTGCGGAGCAGCGCTGGCCCCGGGGACCGCGGCGGCTGCGTAAGTCGGGGGCTCGGCTCCGTGCGCGGGATGGGACCCGGTCCTGGTGATACCGGGACTCCCGGGGCAGGGTGTTGCTTTGTTCCAGGCAGGAGCCTGCTCCCGCCTCCTGCAACCGGGAACAGTGTTTCTGGTGGCTCCCCAGGCCACGTCCCTTCTCACCCCGGGCCTGTGTTCAGCCACTGGGCTCCCCGGCGGGGCCAAACCCTCTCACAGCGATGCCGGAGCCATCTCTTGTGCCAAAAAGCTCCCGCACCCAGCCCGTGGTGGCTGTGCCTGGAGGAGGCACCGCGGCAGCGGGATAGAGCCCACGGGCAGCCCAGGGGGTGCCCACCATCCCCAAAACCCACTCCGCTGCAAACAAGCCCTGAGGGACGCCTCGGTCCCACGCCTGCGGCTGCACCGAGGCCAACCCGCTGCGGCACCCACGGCTCGGCACAGACCCCGGGGTGGTGGGGGCTCCCCGAGTGTCACATCCACGCTGGGATGGGGGGCCAAGGGCTGGAGGAAAAGCCCCGAGGGTCGGCAGCAGTTCGCTGCCCCCAGGGATGCCCTTCCCTGCCTTTGGGGTAAGGGGATTAGAGGGCTCTGAGCTGGGCTAAGTCAAGATCACTCCGGGGAGGGGGCTCTTCCCCGGAGCGCCTTGGAAAGCTGATCAGTGACATCCGAGGGGCCCCGGGGCAGGAGAGGGTGGGAGCAGGGGCACAGGGTGCCTGTGGATGGTAGGAGAAGCTGGTACCCCCACCCTGCTCCTCAGTGTGCCCACATCTCCCCTCCATCAGGTGTGAGGAGACGTTCCGTGCCAGCGCCGGACCCGCAGGGACAACCGCGACCCAGGGCAGGCTGCCGGCCCCTGCACAGCCATGAGCCTGGAGCCCCCCAAGCCAGAGATCAAATCAGCCACGAGGGTGACCGGGGGACCCGCCACCCCCCGGAAAGGACCACCCAAATTCAAGCAGAGGCAGACGAGGCAATTCAAAAGCAAACCCCCCAAAAAGGGGGTGCAGGGGTGAGTGGGGCAGAGATTTGGTGCTGGGGGGACGTGGCCGTATGTGCCCAGCTGGGGTTGGGGGGAGCTGGCAGGGGGTCAGAGCAGACACAATCTCCCTTTGCAGGTTCGGCGACGACATCCCGGGCATGGAAGGGCTGGGAACAGGTACGGGGGGGCGTTGGTCCTGTCCCCACTTGGCCACGGGTGTGGAGTGGGACTCGCTGCGGGCACAGCCGCCTGCAGCCGGGCTGGGGGGGGGCATCGTGCTGATGCAGCCTCTCTCCTCTCCCCAGATATCACCGTCATCTGCCCCTGGGAAGCCTTCAGCCACCTGGAGCTGCACGAGCTGGCTCAGTACGGCATCATCTAAGCGGGCTGCGACCATCGCCGCTCGCCCGCCCCGTAGTGCTGTGTAGGTAGAAGCCGCCCCGGCCGCACGGCGGGGCTCAGCCTGGAGAAAATGTTCATTAAAACCCAGAACGAGCACAGGAGCCTGGTGTCGTGCTCTGGGGTTGGCAGGGGTGCGGGTGGAAAGCGTCTGTCCAAGGCGCGGGGTGGGACGGGCAGAACGCGGCTGGGGTTCAGGCTTCTGACGAGGTTTATTTTGGGCTGGATCAGCACCCTCCCCGACACATCCCCGACCTCACGGTGTTCCCCAGCGCGGGTGACAGCCAGCGCGCCCTCAACCCTGCACCCCAATGGGTGCGACGTCTCTGAGCACCTTCAGCGCCATGACCACGCCGACAGCCTCCACCAGCACCAGCCCGGCCGCGGCGGCCGCGACGCCGCCCGCCTGAGCGCGGAGCCAGGCGCTGAGCTGCC